CTATAATAAGCTTCTTTATTTCCTTGCTTATCAAATATTCTGAGAAAAATGTAAATATTACAAACATATGTGATTTGCAGTTTAAAAATTAGAACGAGAAGAAAATTACTACATTTTTTTTACAGGAAATAGTCTTTGCAAGATAGTAATGCTTTCAAGCAGGGGGAGATGAGGTATAATGCATCTTTGTAGCTGTTTCACTAGCACGACAGCAGTTGAACTAGACTGTTCTAGTGTCTGTGTACAGGAAAGGTGTTTTTATTACAGTGTCATTTAGGAAGCACTGTAGGTGTTCATCTGTGCTTTTTTGCTCAAGAGTGTGCATTTGCACATTTACTGTCCACATTGGCCAGGAAAGCCAAATGCAGTTGCATGCTAGATCTCTTTAAGAAGCACTGCAAGAGACGTTATTTGAATATATCAAGAAGGGAGATACATAAATAATGTTTAATAGATACCTAACATTTTAGTATTTTTGTATGCTTTGTTCTTCATCTTTATAAAAGGGTGTGTCCAAACAGAGGAGACTGATAAAGAAGTGAATTGACTTATAATTCAGGTGTGACTCTTCAGTTAGAGTTTGGAACCTACAGAAGTCTCTTTCTGAATTGCCTCAATGTTACCGAGGGTGGAGGCATTCCCGTATTCACCTGTAACATTCCCCGTTTGCTTGATGTCTTCTCTCTACAGAATCACTAGCTTCATTGGCCATTTATCTGTGACCATTTAAAAGTCACAAATAAGACTTTTTTTGAATAAATTCCTTGCAAATTTTGTTGAATGTGGATTCTCTAAGTGTGCTGAGCACAAACAGGCATTCAACCAGTCACCTTCACTCATACAGCATTGGAGCCGCTCATTTTGCATAGTACATTTTAGCCTAGTGATCAGAGATCATCTTTCTGGGAAGTAAGCACTCCAGAGGTAGTTTCCTCTACTGAACTTGTTCAGTTGAACATCAAAGCAATGGGGAAGACTGGGGCAGAACTAAGACACAGTGCTGGACCTAGGCTGAGTATTATGTTGTCCCAGTATGGAATTTCTACATCCCAGAATACAAAATTCATGGCTTGAGAGACAGACCATTTTTATAGCTCTTGCTGAGGCCACTCATTATTTGCAGGTACAACTTTAACAACATGATGACGTGTGACTCCTTCCTCCGTCACATCTTTCTGAGCAGCTCAGCAACTCCAGCACACCGTAACAGTTGGTGTTAGGTACTTTCTGAGAACATGGAAAATACTGAGAATCGAACAACTTAATTTTCCTTCTAGATCTGGGCTTGTTTTGCAGTGTGGACATAAACACAAAAGAATGCTTTAGATGTAATAAAAATGTTCTCGGTTAAAAACCTGGAAAATTGAGGAGAAAAAAAAAAAAAAGAGAGAGATAATTTAGTAGTAGACCCAAGCCAAATCCATCAAATCCTTATTCTCATTTCAGTGGAGCTGTTATAACAAGTGTTTTCAAGATTGAACCCCTACATTAGGTAAAGTACTTACAAACTATTTGTAATAACTACATGACACAGCTTTGCTTTTGTTATTGTCGTAATTTGTTTATCTGAACCTGATTATATATTCAGTTCATGTGGCTGCATTCAAATGATGGGAAACAGAACTTGTTTTATCAAATGTTTTCAAAGTCTTTAAAGGCTAGGAACTTCAAACAACATTTTTTTAAATTTGTTTAGCAGAAGCTGTTTATTTTCCATGTCAATATCACTTAAAATCAGTATAGGATTTTTAGTATTACCATCTTCAGCTTCAAGTATAATGTTTACTGCACTACTGTGTCTCTTTCATTTGTTATGATTGAAAGAAGATAAATGTTATGTAAAACAGCAGATTAAATAAATAATGGAAATGCGTGTCTCTTCAAGCATGCATCCTCAGTGAAGAAAAGCAACAGTTCAAGCGTCCCGATTACAGAAAATCCTGATGTTTGTTTTTAAGTCAAAATCAGATATGGAAAGATTTTGATCAGTTAAAACCAAATTGTCGTATCTTGATTTAGATAAAGAAATAGCTGACTTTTTAGAAATCCACTTATTGATTTATTTTATTATTTTTTTTTTAGTAACATTACTTGTGGAGAAATACGGTAGAGACTTTTACCTAAAAGATACCCAAATCCAATCCGTAGTCCCATCTTGCATGTTATGTACCTGTAACAGTGCCTTTAAAATGGTTACTTTTTGCATATTAATCTGGCTAAGCTGATACTAGTAGGAAGAGACTACTGAAGTCAGCAGACATAATTTTTCCTTTGGCTATTGAGACATGGCGGGGGGGGTGGTATTTGCAAAACTTCATTAACAGTATATAGGTTTTCTTCCATTTAAAGCAAGGAAAATGAATGCTTGAATCAGGTTGAAAATTTTGCTGTTTTCTTCACACACAGCTCCAGTTTTTCACATCATTTTGTTCCAAGGAAAACTGCACTTTGTTCAGAGCATAGCATACAAAAATACATAGGGTACTGTTTGTGCTTATATTGGAGGAACCTATTTCAATTGACTTGGAAGAAAACAAGACAAAATTTAAAATTTGGGAATTACCTGTGGCTTATTTTTGAAAATTAATTAAAAAAAAAAATTACATGGCAGTGAGAATTTTTTTCAAGAATCACAAATCAGTTATGAAGGCTTAGGTGGATACGATTCTCCTTTTCCGGGCAGTTAGGGTGTAAGCCACAAAGCCAAATCCAACTCTGATTTTACTGGATCAGACACACATCATTCTGTAACTTTAAGTAATCATTGTTTGTTCAGGTGTGGTTTTTTATTGTTCACAATAACCCCAGTTATTGTGGGTTCAAATTCTGTTATTTTTATCATTTACATCTTAGTCTTGGTAAATTTCGTAGAGGTTAACTGCAATAATCTTCCCTGCTCTACCATCAACAGTGAGTTCCTCTTTTGGCACCTAAAATGTTAGGATGCCAATATATCAATAAATAGTATTTCTTGGCAGCCACATGGAATAACTTTTTGTGTTCTCAGGTGATATTTCCTGGAGAATACTCAAGATTTCCCAATGTTTTATTCATCTCTGTATTGACAAAATCTACCTCTAGACAGAGGTATTTCCTGGCTCACATCCAAGGCTGTTCAGTTTGAAAGCTTACCCTGAAGTGTGTAAGGTATTTTATTTTGCTGGATGTGCGTATATGGCTAAAAATCTCAGTTTAGTAATTCTGTGCAGCTCAAAGCTCACCTGGATATTTTGAAGTGATTGAAATTCTCGCTTTTAGCACACTTAAAGAAGTTGGAGGGGCTGTGAGCTGGCAGTGGTCACACACACCAACAGGTTCCCACACTCTATTCTGACCACAAGCTGGCTGTTGTTGTTCTCCTATGTGAAACCCTGCTCCCTGATGTGTATTTGTAGCACCATCATTCTCTTTAGAGGTTCTGCATGCCAGAAAGTACTTTTTCCAACCTGGTTGACTTACTGAAAAGTAAGTACTAATATAAAGAAGGAGCCTTATGTTTCTTTACTAACCAATGATGTCCTAATGACAAAATAGGTATGTTATGAGGTTTATTTTAAGAGGATTCCATTGACATTTTTCCAGTTTTTTTTTTTATTTGCATGTGTTTTTTAATGTATGTTTAAGATTATCTTCCTAGTTTTCATCGAAAGGCCATTTCTTGATTAAAAATATCACATTAGTTTATGCTTCTATACTTAAGCTAATGACATTGATGACCAGAAGCAGCCCTGTTGTTGTTTTGTATGCACTTACAGACTTCCCTAGCTTATATCTTTGCTGTGAATTAGGTGTGAACTCAAGCCCAAAGCCAGTCCCTAGCATGAAGCACTGCTTAACAGAACGTCTGTCCATGCAATTCACTCTAGGCTTAAAATGTCCTTTACCCAGCCTTCTTCTGCCCACAGTTTCAGAAGTTATCCAGAGTTCACCCTCTTCCGAGGCTTAGTTCTGTCTAGCTAAGCAGTCGGCAAGATTAAACAGAAAAAGTACAGGTCATAGGACTGAGCCAGCATGTGCCTGCCTTAAACCTACCAATATTAATGTTGTTCTGTGAGCAATTCTGGATTCAAAAATTTCCTTGCTATGTATCTCACAAGTAGGATAATAAAAACAGACCAATCACTTTTACCTTCTGCTTTGCCAGTGTTGATACAACACTTTTTCTTACAGGCAATATTTAAGTGAATCTGCTTCCTATCAGTTATTTTACTTAATACATTTCTAAAATATTCTGTCATTACATTCAAACATTCTTCCTTGCTTTACCTAATCATATTCTTAGGCCTAACTTAATGATTGTATCCTTTTAGTGTATAGGCTATAAAGCTGCTGGGAGATGTCATTCATACACTGGAATCTAATACCAACCACCCTCTCTTGGCTGCTTGCTTGATACTTAACTCTACTGGCATTAGGAACAACATGTCCTTCAAAACACTATTCTAAGGAAAGGGTTGAGGGGCTAGGATTTGACTGATTAAAACAACAGAGAAATGTTTGCACCAGATGCTCTTTGATTAACATCATTTCAGTACCCAGCTAAAATATGGTTATCATGTCCACATTAAGAGAGATTACTTTTCACATGCTGATTTATAATAGTATACTCTCAAAAAGTACTTTTGAGGTAGTTCTGTAAAAGTATTAACATAGAGGAATGTTTCTGACTTCAATATTGGCAAGCAACAGTCGTATTCTCTTCAGATACATAAAGTCAGGCCAGTTTGCCTTTATTTATCAACCTTTTCATTTTCAATTTGTTCTAGCATCAGTTAAAGTTGGGGGGAAAAAACCCACAAAAAACCAAACCCAAACCTTGTTTGACCTCCTTTCTTTGGATAAGACATGTTAAATTTCAGTTAAGCCCTGAGGGTTAATGATTGCTGCAGGATCCTGCTTAATTTTAAATAGAATGTTCTCTAATGAAAAAAGTATCTGACTATATTTGCTACTTTTTATTTGTTTAGAAGAGAGTAATTTTTTTTCTCCTCTCTTAACAGGTGGCCATTGATGAGCGCATCAGGCAACTGCACGAGGCTCACAGGGATTTTGGCCCTACTTCCCAGCATTTTCTTACCAGTAAGTAATTTCCCATTTTTCTTGCTCAGCTTGCACACACAGTTAATTGATAGTTTTGTAGCCATGTGCTGGTTATCGTTGCTATGAATTTCTAATTTAGACTACATTATAGTTGTTTTCATTTTTTTCATTACTGGGAGCAAAAGCCTGTTAAGTACGTTCATATAGTCCAGGATAAAAGGCAAATATCTGTCACTATCAAGTCTGTTTGTCCATACATCTGTCAATGCAAGGCTAGTCTTCTTTGTTTGACAGTTCCCTTTTAGGACTACTGAATTAAAATATTAAAAATTGTAAGAGTTTCTGATTATTGTAACCCAGAAAGGATTCAGAAAAATTTAAACATGGTTTATTTGTTCAAAGAAATATTCAGCTCCAAAAAGGAGCAAAATAAGACCTGCAAGAAAAATATTTTGCAGGATTTGATCACTTAGCAGAGCAGTGAGAGCATCAAAACCATAGTGGGAAAGTTGGCAGAAGGATGGCAGTTAAGTTAAATTTTTACAACTCTGCATAAAATATAATTGCCAGTAATATTCCCACTCCACCTCCACACACACTCTTTTATCAAGGATGTTTTGAAGTACACTGAAAGACAACTTGAAACACCTTCAAAGCTCCAAGGCAGTGACTAAAGTGAAGCTTCTTAAAGGCCGTGTCTTTTCTATTGTACTTCAATTAAGGAAAGCAAACAATAAAACTTTGTTTAACAGATTATATCAGCAGAACAGAACACAGTCACAGGGTAATGGTCTCCTACATGCAGAGAGACAAGCTATCCAAACATCTGAAATAGATGTTACTATTATTGCACAGCTACGTTCACAGTGGGGTAGAGGACAAACTTTTCTTCAGCTGATACTGCATTGTAATTTTAATCGGTTAACCATTTTTCCACTGAATATCTCAATGGGAAACTTAAAATTCTCAGTGGGGTGAACTGCAAATTCAAAACCAGGGTTGATGTTGTGCCATATAAGCACAATGCGGGCTCACAATGATTCACCCTGCATCTTATTTTATCAAAGTATGATCCTGTGAAGAAATAAGCCCTATTTTTGTAATTTCTACTACTCTAAAAATCTCTTTTAATTAACTCTTAATCACTGGGAATAACTTGTCAGCTCAGTATATATAACCGCAAATCAGACTTGTCAAGATAGAACATGCAAGAGTTATGGGTATCTGACATGAATGCAATATGTAAGCAGATGCCTGTTTGGTTTTATGGCACACAGTGTATTCCTGGTGAAAGAATAGATTTGAAGGGTAAATTAAGCAAGCCTATATTCCAATCTGGAAGAGACTAGAGTGGCCTAACTACGTTATCACACTGAACAGCATGCCATTGTGCTGTGCCAGTGCTGAGTGCAGCCAGGCAATTTGTGTGACAGTTATGTCCTAGACCCATTCTGTCTTATTACTGATAAACTAGATCAATCTAAAAGTTGCTCAGTGTTATGACAGTCACCTCTTTTAGCCCACCCACCATTAGTGAGACACTGAGACAATGCATTCATCTTCTGTGTACTAACCAGAGCCAGCAAAGAGTGGAAATCATTCTGGACACTTCTCAGCACGTGAGGATCACTTAGGAAAAGGAGCCAGGTGAAAATGTGTTGACTTTTGAAATACCCAAAACACTGAGAAAATATGGACATGTGTATGTGTGTGTTTGTTCTCTCTCTCTTTCTTACATGTGTGTGCAAATACATGTGCAAATACATATTCTTACATGTGCATGCAAAAGTTAGGTATTTGAAGCACTGAAAATATCTACAGAATCCTTCCCAAGTATAAGTTTTCAGTCACTGAAAACTGGCAGTGCATCTATCAGTCCCATCTTTGATAAGCATAAAATTCCAAAAGCATCAAGTTCCTCAGTATCATGTACTATTACTACCCCTGAGGAAAATATCATGCTTTTACATGCTCCTCATGTGCTACCTCTGCTGCATCCCTACAGTGATGGAAGCACATCTGTTGGAGAGGTAGCGCTGCAGGAGAGAGAGTGCCAGAGTCTTTGCCACCTAGCACTAGCCTTGTTTCTGTATCTATACTTTTGGGGATGAACAAGTCAAACGTAAGGGTTGCCAAACAGAATTGGGCAGGTCAAATGAAGGTGAATTTAATGGCTTGTAAATGATCTTTCAGTGCATGGCAAACAGAGTCCAAGTTGGATCAGTCTAGCTGTGGCAACAACAGTGAAAAGATGAATCATGGTAATTCTTCTCTCTGATTTTATTTTATAAGCTCAACTCACAGAGCATTTTTACCTAAGGAGCTGAGATACACATAAAATCAATGCAAACTCTATTAAGTAAGGAAAATAAGCAATTTATTCGCTATTTCATACCTAATTTATATGCCAGTAATAATCAGTTCATCCTCTCAAACTCGGCATCAACTTTCCTTCTACCATACATGCTTGCTCACCTTAAGGTGCGAGTGATGATCTTCAGCTCCCAACTGTGTTTACATACTTACATGAAAAACTGTTTTTTTTAGAATTGATCTACCTTTAAATAGTTCTGCAAAAAGGGTGGTACTTTAGTAAAGTTCACATTAAATGAGTGACTGAATTACATTTCTCTCCTATCTAGAAGAAATAAATGAGCTCCTAATCTGTGGTAATGTTTTTTGTGTTTGTTATTATTTTATATATAGAAGTTAGTGTCATCTGTCTGTTTCTGCTTGATTGGAACCAAAGCTGCATAGGGCTGTTGAAAAGCTAGCACAAAAATAATGGGGGAGTGATGCAGGGACTGCATATTTGTCATGCCCTGTGCAGGCAAGGAATCAAGTGTAGTCCCTGTTTCTAAGCACTTAGAGCCTGTTCTAAGAGCTATTCTTATAGCTGTTTCTGAGAGAGATAGGAAGGAAGGTGTGAGCTAGACAGATAAGGAGTGAAAAAGAAAAAAGTCTCCTCCTTTGTAGCATTTTTAATTTAGGGACAATTTTTCTCCATTGTCCTTTCATGCAGTTGGACCTTCTCTTTCCACTCTTTCTTCTTCTAAATGACCAGGTGACAGTGTTTATCTATACTGTGGCGCAGGATAATTCAGACGTCTCCTGGTTGTGAGTTAAAAAAGTAATGACAAAGGAGCTAGGACACTTGTGTCTCTATACCAAGGCTTTGGGCTGCCCTCAAGTATGAAGGACTCTCACCAAAACTGGCCCTTACCTTTCTGCTTAGCACATGAACTTGCCTCTCTCCAGGCCTCCTACATTTTTTGTTGGACTCTCTCACCTCGGTCCTTGATCTTCTGATCAGTCCTTCATGCTTCCCCAAGCTCATTTCACTCTGCCAGTCTCCACAGCTCTTCCTCAGTTTATTCCTTGCCAAGGACAGAGGCCTCCAGCATTCACAGCAATAGTTGTTAAGATATAGCTGATAAATGTATTGCGTGTGCAAGACATTATATCATGAATCCATGGAGTGAGTCTGTTGATTTTGAAGGTTTTGCTGTTTAATTAGAATGATCTAAATCAAGGAGTGAGAAAAATAGCAAAACCCAAAAACCTCCTTTCTATTAAAGAGAAACTGGTAAATATTTACCAAAGTAATTAAAAAAATCTGTGATCCTTTCATGGATGATGGTACTTCATTTGGAAACTATATACAGTAACTGAAGTGTGAAAAAGAGTACCTGCAAGTTTCAAACATAATGCCAGCTCCAGAATTTTCAGTGACTCCTCTGGAATAATTTTACTTTTTTGACTTCTCCTTTATTTTTCTCTGTGATGCTGCCTCTTACAAAGAATGGGATTCATTGTCTCTTGTTGGAGGACTCACCTATATTTGTCACAACCATTATTACTTTTTTTTTTTTGAGATGCGACAAGTGAGAGGTAGGGTCGATGTCAGGTTGTTTTTAAGATCATTTGCTGTGCTAGCCAGCTTCCCATCAATCTTATTTTTAACGTGATAGCTAATTCACGTGCATTACTTGTGATCGCTGAAAAACAGAAGGTATTACATCTTTTAAAAGCATAAGCAAACCTTTTAATTTGCTGTCCAGCTCCAGTATGAGCCATCTATTAGTATATATACAGTACAGTAACTGAAGTGTGAAGTACAGTACCTGCAAGTTTCAAATGCCAGCTCCAGAATTTTCAGTGACTCCTCTGGAATAATTTTACTTTTTTGACTTCTCCTTTATTTTTCTCTGTGATGCTGCCTCTTACAAAGAATGGGATTCATTGTCTCTTGTTGGAGGACTCACCTATATTTGTCACAACCATTATTACTTTTTTTTTTTTGAGATGCGACAAGTGAGAGGTAGGGTCGATGTCAGGTTGTTTTTAAGATCATTTGCTGTGCTAGCCAGCTTCCCATCAATCTTATTTTTAACGTGATAGCTAATTCACGTGCATTACTTGTGATCGCTGAAAAACAGAAGGTATTACATCTTTTAAAAGCATAAGCAAACCTTTTAATTTGCTGTCCAGCTCCAGTATGAGCCATCTATTAGTATGTATAACATGTCAATGAAGCAACTGCATGAAATAATGCTCAGATGTAACTGGCAATTACTTACAAGTGCGATTGGGAGATCCCAGGCACTGCGTGTGATTCCCAAGCTCAGAGAACACGGACTTTCATCAAGATGAAGAACCTGGAAATAAGAGGAACAGAAAGAACGTTTAGGTTTGCAAGTCTAAAAGGCTGATTTACATCTAGCTAAGAGTTTGTGATTGGCATTTCCCAGGCTACAAACTTCTGCTACCTGGATACATCAGTACCAGACTTTTTAAATCTGCATACTTAAATATGTGCTAGGAACTATATTTTAACTAGAGATACCTAACTATGCCTTTGAGTTTTGGACTTCCAAGCAGATACAGCACTGATTTCAACATGAAATGAGGCAATTGTAGCAGCTTTCATTCAGAAACAGAAAGGTTATGAACGCTGGAGCCAACAGATCAGAGTGCATCTGCTGCATTTTATGTCAGACAATTGTTGTTTAAAAATAAAAGATATGATCACAAGAGTG